GCCTCCCAAGTAGCTGGGACCACAGGCGCCCGCCACAACACCCGGCTATTTTTTGGTTGCAGCCGTCATTGTTGTTTGGCGGGTCTGGGCTGGGAATTCGAACCCGCCACCTTAGGTGTACGTGGCTGGTGCCTTAGCCGGTTGAGCTACAGGTGCCGAGCCTTGAGACAATTTTATAAAACAAAATCTTCCCAATCTTGTTTCAACAGAAACCACATTTCTGTTTTCCTAGAGACTAGTACAAATGAACAACAGCCCAGTCACTGGTACAATGTCCAGAGCTATCTCAAGAACTACAGGTCTTCTGAGCAGTCCTGGGGTCCTCATGCCCCTGGAGTGGTAGTAAAAAGATTAGTGCTAACTGCTGTGAGCTGTGATGCCACAGCACTCTACCAAGGGCAACAAAGTGAAACTCTGTCTCTAAAAAACAAAAAAGATTCGTGCTACCAAAAGGAAAATGGTAGTTTCAACAAAAAAATTGAAAATAATTGGTTCATGGATATAAAAGAATAAATATTAAATAGAATGAGTAGGCTCGGCGCCTGTGGCTCAAGCGGCTAAGGCACCAGCCACATACACCTAAGGTGGCGGTTCGAATCCCCAGCCCAGACCCGCCAAACAACAATGATGGCTGCAACCAAAAAATAGCAGGGTGTTGTGGCAGGCGCCTGTGGTCCGAGCTACTTGAGAGGCTGAGGCAGGAGACTCGCTTGAGCCCAGGAGTTGCTGTGAGCTGTGATGAAAAGGAAGAAAAGTACTCTACCCAGGGGGACAGCTTGATGCTCTATCTCAAAAAAAAACAAACAAAAAAAAAAACAAAAACAAACAAACAAAAAAAAAAACTAAAGTTACTTTGAAACTAAAGTGCTTTGAAACAGAGAACAATTCATACTGGCTTCAGAGCAAGCTATATACTTATACTTAAAAAAAAACTAGCACAACTATTTTGCCATAAAAATGTTTTTTGAAAGAACATGTCTTTAAACAAGGGAAGTGTTTACTGCACAACCGTCTGAATTTATTATTTGTAAGCAAAATAAACAACCAGAAAACCACCTTAATTGTCCATCAAAATGAATAGCATGGGCCAGGTCTAGTGCAGCTCATGCTTGTAATCCCAGCACTCTGAGTGGCTGAGGTAGGTGGATCACTTGACCTCAGGAGTTTGAGACCAGCATCAGCCAGAGTGAGACCTTGCCTCTACTCAAGAACTAGCCAAGTGTTGTGTTGGGTGCCTGTAGTCTCAGCTACTCAAAAAGCTGAGGGAGTAAGATCACTTGAGCCCAGAGTATGAGGTTGCTGTGAACTAGGCTGAGTACAATACTCCACACAAGGTGACAGAGTTAAGACTTTGTCTCCAAAAAAAAAGAACTGGGTGAGTTAAATGAAACATGGTAAAGTCATAGTTTTTAGGCCACTAGCATGGTCTTTAAAATACAAACAAATAGATGAGGTGACAAAGATGTGTTTTGTGAAATAATAAAGCATATAACAGCATACAAACAATCTCATTTGTAAAACACAGTATAACAAAATGATTATTTTAAAATCCAACCACCTGGCCAAGCACAGTGGCTCATGCCTGTAATTCCAGCACTATGGGAGGCTGAGGCCAAGAGAATCACTTGAGCCCAAGAGTTTGAGGATGCTGTGAGCTATGATACCACGGTACTCTACCAAGGGCGACAAAGTGAGACTCTGTCTCCAAAAAACCAGAATTCAACCACCAAAGTCAAACTCTCCAAAAAGTGAGTAGAAATTAAATAAAAAGTACTCAGACAAGTATTTATATCTTGAGACAATTTGTTTTTTTGTTTTTTTTTGAGACAGAGCCTCAAGCTGTCCCCCTGGGTAGAGTGCCGTGGCATTACAGCTCACAGCAACCTCCAACTCCTGGGCTCAAG